TTAAGCACCCCTGGGTTCAATTCCCAGTACCCAGAGCAGGAGGTGGTGGGACTATGCCATAAATGTCAATGGTGCCATAGTTGAGAAACCCTGAAGTAGCCCAGAGGCAAGCATCCCAGGACAGAGTGGAGAAGGGTAGCCAAGTGCATCTGGGGAGCCCCACAGAAACCACAGCAGTTATATGCCCATTCTGCAGGTCATATGAGTGTGGGCACCAGCACACCAGTGAGTCCAGACCCAGGATCTGAGCTCCCACCTCACTCATTCCTGAGTGATCAAGATGTGGGGTAGAGAAAGGGCTCACACTAAATGAATAGGCTGCTAAAGTCCTAGGCTTTGTGGTTACCTAACAATAGGAGTGGAAATAAGGTGTTGCCAGTGGAGAAAGGCGGAAATATCCTACCTGAGTTTCCTTTCTCATCTTCCCAACTCCTGCCATGAGATCCTTGAATTTTGGAATTTACTTGGCTTTTTCCCCAAATGGGGAACTGATTGGGTAGAAGGACCATATGTTGTTTACTTGTTTGAATGGGTAGCTGTGCAGTATAGTTAGTGGTGCAATCTGAAGCTAACAGACAAACAGTTGAATGTTTCTCGGGTTTTAATACCTTTTTGTTTGCAGGTTTTTGAAATCAAAATTGATTAACACAAACTTCGGAGACCTATATATGCCCAGTACTGGGGCCCTCATGCTGCTGACAGCTTTGCATACTTGTGACCAGGTAAGGAGCCTGAGGCCACAGAGCAGAGATTTGAGCAGAACTCAGTATTGACTCCCAATAGTCCTTCCCTGAGACCTGACCACCTAGATAGGGACTCCAGGCCGCCATCCCACAGTGAAAGGATTCCCCAGTGCAGGAGTGGCACGATCAACCTGCTTGCACACCTGCTCCCCAGGGTCCTCCCCAGGAAGGGCCTGAGCCAGCTTTGCCTTGAACCGTGCAGCCACCTGCCCCAGCACTTCTTTCACATTAAATCACGCTGCTCTTCTGAAAGCAGAATCTTCTCAACCAGGAGGTCCTCTTGTGGGGACATGCTGGAACTGACATGGGACAGGTGAGCAGGCTCAGTGTCCCACACATAAACATACTGAAGTCATGGAGTAAATGTTCCTGATGAGATGTCGTTGGAACGGCAGAGGCTGAGCAGTTTTCAAGACCCTGGTAAAGCCAGTACAAAGGCTAGAGGCCAAACTCCACTCTGGTCCCACATATTTTCCCTATTTTAATATAGAAGTCTCTTGATTGCAGTCACTATTAATTCCTGAATCAGCCTGAACTTGAAGATCATGGCTTTAGTCACACCAAAGTTTCAAACCCAGCTTTGCCTTAAGTGAGTGGAGGGAGACATGTCTCCACTTCCTTGCTTGTTCAGGGGGATAACTTATCTTGAGGTGTTAATGCTGGGGTTAGAATGTGTAAGAAAAAAGTGCCCCTGTGAGCTGTATTTACTTGCATCTGCACCTATGCACCTGTGTGGGCACAGAGCAGACCTTTCTGAGTTCATACACCTCCAAGCATCAACAAATACTAACTCAATAATGGTTTTATCCAGGTCAGTGCCTATGGATTCATCACAAAGAACTACCAGAAATATTCTGACCACTATTTCGAACGAGTAAAGAAGCCACTGATATTCTATGCAAACCATGATCTGCCCCTGGAAGCCGTTCTGTGGAGAGACCTACATAAGGCTGGCATCCTTTGGCTGTACCAGCGCTGATCCCAAAGCACAAAGTCTTCTGCTTCTTGCAGGGCTGTGACCCTGGTACCCACAAGTGGCCAAAAGCCCTCCCCCCTTTTTTTCAACCTTTGAGAAGGGGGTTCACTCCCCCCTGATCCTCTACTTCCCAACAGAAGATACTGAGGTGAACTCATGACTGTTACTAAAAGGGAGGGCACCCTATCTTACCATCTAAAGGAAAACCCTCTGGGTCTTACACATCCCAGTTTGGTTAAAGGAAAGCAGACTGCTTTGCTGGATTTATTTCAAAATTGAAGACAACATTCCCAACATCAGTGACCCTTACCAGCAAGAGGCAGGCACACCTTGGAGCTAAGCAAGAGCCAACAGACTTAGATCAATGATGCCATTCAGGATCCATCAGTAACCAAGATCAAGCCAGACAAGCGGGCAAACACACAATCCCAGCCCCAACTCACCCCTAATGGCATGTCATACCCAAACACCAAAGTCACTCAACTGAGGACATCTCAAGCACCTGAGACCATGATTTTTCTGCCCCCTGATAAAGTATAAGAGCAAAAGGCAAAAGTAAAACTCAAGACTAGGTTAACTGCATAAATGACCATTTTGTCTTGTGCTGGGGGTTGGTAGAGAAAGTACAGAAGATGCTGGTGTTCAGCACGAAGTTTACCAGAGTCCAAGAACAGGAGATACTGGTGTTTGATGGGGGTCAACTGCACAGAAGCCTGCCTGCCACCGCCACCAATGCTGAGGATCCTGTCACCAACAGGATGACACTACTGGTGATGAAACCTCATCCTCACATCATGGCTTCAATAAATTTGAACCTATCTAGCTCATAGGCAGTTTCATAATTTTATGGGCATTTAAGTGATTTTAAGTCTCACCCAATAGCCCCTAACCAAGCCCTGATACTGGACACAAACTAGTGGCTTTAGATCAGTAGGCTGCGCTGCACATGGAGCAAGAGCTGTTGCCAGCAAATGCTGGCAACTTCCCAAGGTAGCCACTGCCTACACTGGCCAATCCACCAAGGCCAGGTTTCTACGGTTTTGGGAGCTTGATTTTATTCTCTCAAGAGGGATGAAGAACTCGGTCACCACACACAATAGCATTCAGTAATGCAGACATCTGATCAACACAATTGACAGGTGGTGGGCTTTAGTTACAAGGCAGCTACCACTGTTTGGAGCCCAGGACTTAGACTAGAGGGAAACAACGTTTCAGTTACTGGGATCAGGACAAAGCCTCCTGGGTGACCTTACCTCCAGGAGAGTGGTATGATCCTTTGACAGAATACTTGGTTTGGAAGGAAGTCAAACGGGGGAATATATAAGGTACCCTGACAGTCACAATCCATTCTGGTGTCTTACAGTGACCTAGTGATGATCACTACCACTAATCTGATTAGCTTGGTAACCTAGCACTGCCCTGACACCCAAGATTATAGTACTTTCCCCGTGCCCACCGACCCTCTCTAGATGCCAGTAATACCTTTATCAGTGCTTTATTAGATTTAAGGTAAAAGAAAGCAATGTTTGTGGGTAGCAATACAAGCAGTATATCATCACTTTAGCAGGTACAAATATAGAAAAAAAAGATCAAATTCTTATTCTGTGAAACTCCTAAGAATGTTCTCTTGAATCATAGAACAAATAATGTTCTTTGTGTCTCAATCTGAAATCCACATTGCTAGTGAATAAAAAATACAACAAAACAGAACCTTTAATTGTGCTTCAAAAGTTTAAATAAAACAATGACTTCACAAGAAATCCACTAAGAAATGCTTTTTGAGGACAAGCATTGTTTCCCTTAGCTTCCTACAACAATGTATGCACATTAACAATTTCAGTTTACAATCACCGAAGTACCACCTATACATGAGACTATACTCAGACCACCTAAACTAAAGTTCAGATATTTTTATAGTTATACCCCAACTTCACTAGCTGCTAAAAGTGGTGATGGTGATCTCAGTCACTCAAATTCCTTGGCTATTTTTGAGGATGAAATCCAAAAAAATTCTTATGATTCTAGTTGGGTGGGATTAACTCAGGCATTAGCAGAAGCAGGGCTGTGCAGATCCCATCTGGCACCACCGGGAGATAACCTGTAAAACAGAACAATTTCCAGTAAACAGCCAACTAAGTGCGTCACAACCAAACATTAAAAGCAAAAGGCAAACAGTCTAAGAGGATTTGTTCTAGCCATTATGTATTGGGCATATGTATACTGGGGGAGCAGGCTGGTGAGATTCTAAAGGACTCATTTTAAGGAGCCAGTATCTAAGGGGGGTGGCCAGAAAAGACTCCCACTAAACAGCAGGGATATTTGCATCCAACTCCCTCTGAATCTCAAGGTTTACCCAGGTTGGTTGAGCRAGCCACCTGGAAGCAGATGATAACAATGTGGATCTTCCCACCTGCTGACCCACTCCTTCACTTTACTTGGCAGGCTGTAAGCAGCTGGGGCCAGTTTTCAGGCTTGTTAAATCTCACCCCAATCAAGACTGCCCTGGTAACTAAACAAAAATGTGACCTTAAAGATCAGCTCTCCAGTTTCAACAGAAGAGAAAATCTGGGTCCACTTCAAGCCTGGCATTTAAAAGGAAACAAAGAATCACCCCCACAGTTCCACTTTGCTTTTTTCTTGCTCATGTGCCAACCTCTGCTGCCCAAGCAGTGGCCCAGTGCCAGCCATGCCATCCAGACAGAATCTCAGCTACAGGAAGAAGGGCTCCCTGGTGGTGTTAACAAAGCAAAGGAAACCAACAGTTCTGCCAGGGCCATGGCACTCTTCTTTCCTAAATGTCAGGACACTGCTACAGAGGCAAGGTCAGTAATTAAGCATTCTCACTGCCACAAGCTGGCATATATTTTACATTCCAGTTTCAGTTTCAAAGGGCACATTCATTTCCTTGAAATATGTGGTAGGCACTCTTCTCCTTCACAGTAAGTCCTTGCCCATTTCTGTAGTCTCACAGAGCCTGTGCCTTCAGAGCTATCACTGAAAGGGACAGACATTAACAGGGCAACTAGACCTTTAGTCTGAACATCTGATCTGTAGACTGGAGTCTCAGCAGGGCACACATAACACCCTGCACTGTCCACTTGATTTGATCCTTGTAAAGCCTGAACTACTACTGGAACATGGAGCCACACCTTAAGCCTCAGAATAGATTATTTTCCCTCAATTGAGATTTTCAGACAGGGATAACTAACCATCATAGGCTTGTGAGGCTTCTTAGGAACACATAAGATAAATAATTTACAAACAGGAGAAGAACTGTTTTACTTGCCTTCTGGTAAAGCAGTTTACAGTTAGTAACCTTGCTGAGTAGACACCTAGCAATGAAAACAAAAGTATGTTAAAGACTCCCTGCTACTTAGCACCTTCCCAAGTCCAGGGCAGGGGAGACAAAAAGAGCTAACCCTTCACCCAAGCATGTGCAGCAGGACTTCTCTGCTTACATGAGAGATTCCACTTGAGGTTCAGGTCCATGGTGCCTGCCACAATGTGGCTGCTAGAGGGTCCTTTTCCAACGGAAGCAGAGATTGCACCTGGTGAGGAAGAGAAACTGGAAAAAATGAAAAAAAAAAAAGAAAAAGAAAACTACTGAAGAAGATATAAACAGAGTACCTCTAAAGTAGTTCTCTTTAAAATCACGAACTTCTCATAAGGCAAACTTGCAAAGCTGAGTTTCAGATATCCACATTCCACACAGAAAGGCCTTTCCTTGCCTTCAGACAGGGATAACTTGACATCATCATGAACTCAGCTCACCAATCTGCTAGCCCACAGTACTGCCCACCAGAGCACACGTCAATGATTTCTTATTAAGTCGTGCTTTACTTCCCTCATGAGAGCTATCCATCAATTTTGTCTACTTTATTAGAGTATGCTTTCCTTCCATGGCAAAAATTTTTAGTATTTGGTGTCTGGATGCAGCCAGTGTCCTAGACCTGGCTCAATGACAACTCCTAGCCTTATAAAAAGACTTAAGCAGAGTGCTTCACAGCTGAACAAGAGGCAACATTCAATTGTCTCTCTAGGACATCAGTAAAATGCCTAGTAGGTGCAGATCACTCATCCTTTCAACTAGCCTATTGAGGACCAGTTGCATAAACAGCACCTACTGCCACGAGATGACAATACTACACAAGGTCATTTCTCCTTCATCCATCTGCATGTACAAAACTATCCTGCAGAACAAGCATGTGGCTTTCAGTTTTTTAAGATAGAGGATTAGACATCTGCCCCACAAGCTACTTAAAAATAGCCATCACTATAATCTTGCTGTAATAAAATCCTTGAGCTCAAAGCAGATCAGAGCATCTAACTGTTCCTACACACCTGCTCTGGGACTGGCTACATATGACTCTTGGGACACCCTCTAGAGTCATTCTCATCCATGGCTGGTGTGGGGCCCAGATGTGTACATTCTAACACTATGTAGGTGGTTTTGACATACAACCAGGTTTGAAAACCATTAACCCCGTTTTAAAAGAAGCGCCATAGTGCTTTTATTTGGTATCAAGCCAAGACTGGAGCCCAGACCTCTAGTTAATCTAACAGTTTCTCAATCTTAACTCTACTGACATTTCAGGTGGAAGTTCTTATAGGTGCTGTCTATGCTTTGTAGGACAGTTAGCAGCATCCACCAGACACTTGGTTCACCCTCCATCCTCAGTTGAGAGTCCAAGATACAACTAACTCAAAAAATAGTTATGGGGCTGGGGTTTTAGCTCAGTGGTAGAGCGCTTGCTAGCACGTGTGAGACACTGGGTTCAATTCTCAGCACCACATATAAATAAATGAAATGGTTTTTAACTTTGGACAGAACTCCCTAAGCCTGTTTATTTACTCAGCAGCAGATTGTGTTATGGAGGAGTCTACCTCATACAGGTTGTTAATACAAATACCATTTCTGAGAATTTTAGGCAATAATAATAATCATCATCATCATCATCAAGCAGAAAGAATTTCATACTATTTCCCTTGTCTGGGCAACTACAATCCTGGAAGACTCCCACATCCCCAAATCCAAAAGGCCAGTAAGTACTTAAAGGGGACCATAACCTGTGCAATTCTATCAAAGCTAAAATCTTACCATTTACAGAAATTTCATCACAAAAATTCTTAAGGTCAATATTTTAAGATGATGGGTTTCACAAGTCCACAGCCAATACCATGGATCTAAAAGAGAAATAAGGATGTCATAGTTCATTCTAACAGAAACTACCTTCAGGCATTTATTTTCAAAAAGCTGAGCCTCAGTTAAGTCAGAACTCTTCACAAAAGATGTCACTTCAGCCAGGGATAACTTATGTCCTCCTCAGCTCAACCAGTAACAGATTCCTAAATCCCAGCAACCAAAACTTATTTTCCAAGTCTGTTTCATCCCCATACACAATGCCATCCATGTTGCCTTCAAACAGTGACACCTAGTGGCCTCATATTACAGTAGCACAGACCCTCCCCATTTCTACTGTAAAGGGACTTTAATCACCCTGTACTCACATTCAACTTAACTTGGAACAACTTATGAGGTGGATGTGCCGGAACATCACGCCATCTCTGCTTTCTGGTGACCACCCCCAGGACCTGCTTGCATCCATCTTTTCTCATTTTGCGGTTCCGTTACTTTTAAACTGCAACCTGCAGCTCTGCTTCTCATCTCCCCAGAAGCTAGAGAAAGGCTTTCAGAAATGGAAACAAAGTTTCCTTATCAAAACTAGATTTCCAGCCAGGCGCGATGGCGCACAACCCTAATCCCAGCGAAGGAGGCGGGTGGGGCGGTGTTAAGGCAGTAGGATGGCAAATTCGGGTCAGTTTCTGCGACTTGGCAAGATCCCGTCTCAAAATTTGAAAACGAGTGAATAAAAAAAGCTAGAATAATGTAGCTCAATAGTAAATCCCTCTGGGTTCAATCCCTGGTACTGGTAAGAAAAAAATAGTATTACCAGATTTCCAAAGTCTACAATCCCTTTCACTACCATTAGTAAATAAAAACGACTGCCTGGGTGTTCTCAAGGCTTTCACGCCAAGGGTGCATTCCCGCGCTCACACTCCCGAGGCCGAATACTGCAGTGCCACGCGCCTAGCCTGSCCCCGGGCCTAACCTGTCCACAGGTGGACAGCGAGCCCGACAGGCCCAGAGCCCCCGGGCGCGCGTGCTCAGCACGAAGGTGGACGCACGGGGTCGCGCAAACTGCAAGGACCTCCCTCTCCCAGGAGGAACCCTGCGACGCCAAAAACGGGGTTCAGCTCTCTTCTTTCCCAATTTCTCGCCGTTTGGGAAGCATTTCCTCGTACAGAACCTCAACCCTACCACCACTCTGTGAGAGGGAGGCCGGGCTGATGGTCGCCACTTCGCCTCTCAGTGCTACCCCCATGTTGAAGAAAGCCCCGTTTTCCCACCTCGGCAACCATACCATCACCCAAAGCCTGTAAGGCTGCTCAGCGGTGCTGCACCCCACCGTGGCGCCATGCTTCCCAGACACGCGGCCGATCGCTGAAAGAACGCGAGACCGCGCCTGCGCGCAACTCTCCCCGGCGGTCTCGCCGGAGCTCTCGCGAGATTAAGGGAGGCGGATGGGAAATGTCGTTCTCGCGTCGCCGACCGAGCCGCGGTAAGACGGAGGCCGCCACGAGGGGCAGCAGAGGGCGCTGGCTAGGAAGCCTGGTCCCTGGCGGGCCCCGCGGTCGGGTGGCAAAGGTGGAGGTTGCTGAGCTGTGCCGTGCACTAGCGGTCCCGGGCCGAGGCTGGGGAGGCGCCGGAAGTTCGAGGGCAGGACCGAGAAGGACGACGAGGCCCGGCCGCATTGCATTTCTCCTGGCGCCGCGGACTGTGTCGTGGGGCGGAGGGGGGGCGTTTAGGGTGGTCCGTGGGGCGAGGCCTGGCGCGGGGGATGGCCTGGACTCCGCGAGGGGAGACGGAAAGCCTCAGATTACTATGAAAAGAGCATAACGTCGTAACACCCTCTGGTCTGGTGTCCTTTTCAGTCAACCACCCTGGCTTTTTCTAAATCTTGGAACAGGGGCTTGCTAAGTTGTCCAGGCTGCGATCCTTCTGCCTCAGCCTCCTGAGTCGGGGCCCTCTGCGCCTGGCACGCGGTTTCATGTTTGACTAGGGCAGATGGAGCCCTGGAGTTAGGGCCAGAATTTATGCCTATTTGGAAATGAGTTTGAATTTGCAAGACCCCAGAAATCTTTATGCATTTTCCTCATCCCGTTCTTATGGACCTGTTAGCAATCATCTCTATAGCATTTAGCCTTGACTATTTTGTTCTGTAGGTGGTAATTTTCAAATTACAGTATGTATTTGTCTACCTCTGTTATTTGATTCTAAGTTCTTAAAGGGAGGGAGAAGTATCTTTTAATTTTTTTTTCATTTTTTTTTCAGGCGGTGGGGGTGGGCAGCGGTACTAGGAATTGAACCCAGGGGTGCTTTACCACTGAGCTACCTCCCTAGTCATCATCTTCATCATCCTCTTTCTCCTCTTACATCCTCCTCCTCCTTCTAGTTGTTTGAGACAATGTCTAAGTTGCTGAGCCTCTCCTTAAATTGCTGAGGCTGGCCTGGAACTTGCAATCTTCCCGTCTCAGCCTCCCAAATTGCTGAAATTACAGGTGTGTGTTACCTCGCCTGGCTAATCTTTTTTTTTTTTTTTCTTTTTAATTTCCTCACAATACTGGCTAATCTTTTTTTTTTCTTTTTTAATTTCCTCATAATACTGAATACAGTGTTCAGTTGCTCTTGCTCATACTAACAAACAATGATTTTTAACTCATCCTGGCAGAAATTTTGGCCTTTTGGTTTCTCCATCTTACCCTTGAAGACAAATTATTTTGTTTATTACTGAAAGGAAGAATGTGTTCTCTCCCTGCAAACTAAGTTCCTTTCATGTGAAACTTGCAGGGAGAATCGTTTTTGCCAAAAGCTGCTTGTGAAACTAGTGGTCAAGTGATCTGCCTCAGGCAATACTGGTAGTTGTTTTTTTTTTTAAAGAGAGAGAATTTTTAATATTTATTGTTTAGTTTTCAGCAGACACACATCTTTTTTATTTGTATGTGGTGCTGAGGATCGAACCCAGCCCCGCGCTCATGCCAGACRGGCACGCTACCACTTGAGCCACATCCCTAGCCGCAATACTGGTAGTTTTGAAACTTTATAGTGTTTACTGGATGCATTCACTACATCAAGGTCTTTATGTGTACTAACTCATTTAATCCTTACAGTTGCACTGTGAAATACTTCTCACTATCCTGTTGTACAGATGAGGAAACAGAAGCATGAGGTAACTTGCCCCAAATTCACACTACTAACTGGAAGAGTCAAGAGTCCCAGCTGTTCTGCACCATGAATGTGTTGAYCTAACATATAAGAACTTTTCATTTGGGGAGCCAAAGGGAAGAGAAGAAAAATTTGTTTGTGTTTGCAGGAATGGTTGGGGACAAATCAAAATGTTGAAAAGAGGATGCTGGACACCTGCTTTATTGTTTTGAGCCACTTGGTGGCACAAAGTGTGAGAATAAGAATCCACAGGAACTAGTTGTGAAAGACTGTGAGGCTCTGGGCTCTGGCAGGGCTGTCTTTGTCCCCAGGCTAGTTGCCACTCAGTATGCAGTGAGSACTGGTCTTGAAAGCACTTCACTCTGCCAAAGGTCAATGTGTAGCTTTCACACCTGAGAGGGCGCAGCTTCTCCTGCAGAGCACGGTTGTGCTTAGTGGAACAGCAGCAGGCTCAAAACCAAATGGCACAGACAGTAACTAAGAGGCTGGAGCAAAATACAAGAGCCCTGGTGCCTGRGCATGTGTGAGGCACAACTTTATAGGCAGTGCGGGAATAACTGGGGAAACTTCAAAGACAGCATCAGAATCCCTGAATGAGCAGCCAAGGGCAGAGCTGCTGAGACTGGAGTGTTAATGCTACTGTGATCTCATTTGCACTCTTTGCTGGTGAGATCTGGTACATTTGAGTTTTACAGTCAGTGGAATTGTTATAYAGCCATTATACCAGACTAGGGTAGATCTATATTTATTGGCATGGAAAGAGATGCAGTCTGGTGACAAGTGACAGAAGTAGATCAAGTAGACAYGCTGAACAGGGCAGGAGTCCCCAGTGCTGTTGAAGCTCTGAACGCAAAGGGAAAATCTAGTCAGCTGGCCTGCTGTGCTATGGTGACACTGATGGGATTTAAGATGAGGTATCGGAAACCCACAGTAATAAAAAACAGAGTCTTTACAACATCAAGATTGACTTCTTAATCAGGAAAGGAATCTTTAATTTTATGAATAAGAACATGAAGGAGGATAGGTGGAATCCCAAACAGATGGCTGCTTACACTTGGAGCAGTTGCACTGGCAATTTCATAGGAAGTACACCTGGACACKGGCACTATCAGGAGCCGTCTGGAAGCTGTTCTTCCTCCATCAATTGCAGTGCAATTCTGGTCAAGTTGGGAAAGTATTGTTTTTAAAAACGGTAGCTTCTCTTCTGGCTTTGGGACATAGTAAAGATGTGATGCTGAGTATTTCTGCAGACATCTTGCATCCATGAGGCTTCTTCAAAGTAAGAGTCAAAGGCCTGTGGAAAAGAGAGAGTGGAAAGATGCCATTGAACTGCTGAAATAGACAGTCCTTAAACCCCTGACCTTCAGATCTCCTGTTTTGATTCAGAGACACATTTTTACATTTTAATACTTCTGAATGTAGGATGTGTCTTCTGAGCAATTACATCTTAGATTTGGTGAAATTCAGAATGTGAGATTTTAAAAGGAAATTTTGTTTAAGTCATTTTAAGTTGGGTATCTGTTAGAGTCAAAATCATCCTAAATGATATTGATATTTCCCATATCTTCTTTATATATACAATGATAGTTCCYTGGAAGAGTGGATCATGACAAAATACATAAAACAATTTGACATGTGCAAGTTGCCATCCTGAAGCAGCAATAGCTCACAKACGTGAGGTGTTTACTCTGTGCCAGGGATGCGTGGCACCTTTCATATGCTGCCTTATTTGAGTCTCGCACAGCCTGTCACTACCCCCTCACCACTTTGCAGCTGAGGAAGCCAAAGTGCAAAACGGTTAAAGGAATTTTTAAGTGAAAGCATTGAGATCTGAACACAATCTGACCGAAAGCTGATGGTCTCAATCACTACTATGGTTTGAATGCTGAATATCCCCCAAAGGCCCATATGTTAAGGCTGGGTCCTGAGGTGGCTCTGTTGGGAGGTGGTGGGACCTTAGGATGTGGGACCTTGTGGGAGGTCCTGAAGTCCCTGGAGGCCTGCTCATGAAAGCAATTGTGGGACCCAAGCCTCTTCCCCTTTCTCTTTGCTTCATGGCTCATGCAGTTTGCTTCACCTTGCACCTCCATAAGGCGCTGCATTAATTAAGTTTTGCCTGTCCCTAGAATTCCAAAGCGAAGGGTGCTCCTGATCTTGGACTAGATCTTCCAGAGCCACGAACCAAAATAAAATTGTGTTGTGTGTGTGTGTGTGTGTGTGTGTGTGTGTGTGGCTGGGGTTTGAACCCAGGACCTTGCAAATGAGAGGTCAGTGCCCTACCACTGAACTACTTCCAGCTGCTTTTCTCTTATATGTTAACTATCTCAAGTATTTTGTTATAGTAAAGCTAACAACCACCAGGCTGTGTTTCCTAAAAAAATTATGCTATGACAATGGAATTTTTTTGCCTAACTGCTGTGATTTCAATTTATCCACTTGGAAAGCCCATCATAAAAACAGAGGATTTTTTTCCCAAGAACCATGAAATATTGCCACAAATCCTGCTCRGCAAAAATCCTGTAACATTGAATGTAGCTTTAAGTTTCTGGAGGAAGAGAAATATAACAACATGTGCCCCATTTATTGAGAATAGACAACCTTGGATTTGTGGATTATTTCTTTGTGTTCATGAACAGTTCAGAAAGAAAAGTAGTTCATTTCACCTGCCTGCTCTGCACAGCCATTGCCTTTAATAAATGTGTTACTTTAAAAATGGATTTAAAAAATAAAAATAAATTTGAAGAGTCTGTAATATTCTCCGGATCTCATCTGCTGTTCTCTGGACATGTCTCTCCATTCCCGGAAACCTCTGCCTTTTCACAACTTTTGCATAACCTTTGCTGATGGTGAAGTTTGTTTCCTTCGCCTTGAAATTCCCTTCCCCTCATCCTCTTCTCTGTGTGGTAGATTCCAACTCAGACTTAAATTCCTCCTCTGCATAGTCGTGGCTGCGATGCTGCAGCAATCCCCAAGCTGCTTCCTCATGGTGATACCTTTCTTGTCGCAGGTGGTTGAGTACAGACTCTGTAATCAGGCCAACCGGGAGGAAAGTCCCAGCTCAATAATTCTAGCTGAGTGGCCTTGGACACATTACTTTATCTGTCTCTAAGTCTCTTTTCTCCCATATAATGTGAGGGGGATGATCATCCGAACCTTAAGGCTGTTTTAAGACTGCATCCAGAGCACTGGCACAGGCCTGCACAAGGTGAGGCAGCTCACCTTGAACAGGGCAGTTCCTGTTGGGGTGTACTTCCTCTAACACTGACCCTGCCATTGATGATTGTTTGTTTTCATGTCTGGCATTTCTACTAGACCGTAGGCAAGACAAGAATCTGGTCTTCATTCTTGTTTTGTGTTTAACTAAGTCATCTTTATTGAGGCATAACGTACACATAATGAAATGCATCTGTTCAAAGTGTACGTTAAAGTCCAATAAGCATGCATCCATGTAACCACAGCCGCAATCAAGATTTAGAGCATATTTGGCACCCTTTTACAGCCCTGGCCTGAGTCAGCCAGTGCTCTGCATTCTGTCACTATCAATTAGTTCTGCCTGTCTTAGAATTCCATAAATACAATCATATGAGAGGCATTCTTCTGCGTCTGGCTTCTCAATTTACCCATGTTGTTGCTTACATCCGTYGTTCATTTCCTTATTATTGCTGAGTATTAGTCCATTCTATTAACATACCTCAATTTATCCATTCCATGTTGGAGGGTATTTGGGTTGTTTCCAGCCTGTAGCTACTATTAATAAACTTGATGTGAACATTTTTGTAAAATTTGTTTGTGGAGGTGAGTTTTCCTCTTGGGTTASTTTATAAGAAACCGCCACACTGTTTCCCCCAGGATATTATAAGATTACAGTTGCTCCGCATCTTGGCCTGTGGTCAGCCTTCAGTTGTGCTTTTGATCTGCATTCTCTTAATGATTTAGATGCTGATCTTATGTTTATTGATCTTGATTTATTGGCCAATATTTTTTAATGTAGTGGCCATTAAAACCTTCCCCTTTCCCATTTAAAAAAAAATTGTGTCATTATTATCAAATTGTAAAAGTTCTTTATATATTCTGGATGCAAGTCTGTTTGCAAATATTTGTTTGGCATATATTTTCTCACAGTCTTTCCAAGAGCAGAAGTTTAATTTTTATAAAGTCCAACTAATTGGTTTTTCTTTTATGGTTAGTGCTTTCTGTATCCTTTGCTTTCTTCTTTGGATCACCTTTCTTGCTTCTGTTTTTGGATTCCATTGATGTATGCATATGTCCTTATGAATATCACACATCTTGACCTCTGATCTAGCCTGTCCCCTACTTGAGTTTCCTGTCCCAGAGCCATAGTCAGGAAATTCTCTGAGCAGGGGCTAATGTGCGTGTGGGTTCACTGTCTGGTGCTGCCTGTTGTCACATGTCTGTTTCTTATATTTTGCCCAGTTTTCTGGCTGTTTGTGGCGGGAGGTCTTGATTCATCTTCTTATCTAAGTTCCTGGCACACAGGCACTCCATATTTGTCACATGGGCAAGTCTGCACTTCCAGATGCTGTCCATTATTATTGCTCTCTATGGGGAGAATCTGTGGGGCCCCCATCAGCTGTTCCATCCCCTTCATTTGACTACATGGTTCCCTTCCTGAGGTGGCCATCAGTCCTCTGCCTCTCAGCACCAGCCCGCCTGGGTTCAACACAAGTCACATGAGCAGAAGGACTGAACTAGCAGAACAAGGCGACCTAGGCTAGGATGTCTCTGGTCCAAGTGGCAGAGCAGGGACTGCCTCTTTCATTCCTTTGACACTCCCATTTCATGACACACTGACCATGCTTTGTAAATAAGCTGTCAAATGGATACATTTAGTTTAATGATTATTTCATATAGCTCCTCCTTCTGGATATTCTGATATTAAGTGTGTGGTTCACACAAGGGCAGGACTGGCACCTCCTGCCAGGCTCATAGGCTCAGAGTCTCAGGAAATCTTCTTTTGTTTTGTTTTGTTGTTTTCGTATCCACCCTCTAGTCTTTTTTTTTTTTTTTTTAAGAGAGAGAGAGAGGGAGAATTTCAATATTTATTTTTCAGTTTTTGGCAGACACAACATCTTTGTCTGTATGTGGTGCTGAGGATCGCACCCGGGCCTTACGCATGCCAGGCGAGCACGCTACCGCTTGAGCCACATCCCCAGCCCCCACCCTCTAGTCTTAAGCCTCACCAGAGGGAACATGTATCTCATAGACGGTCTGGGGTCCTTAGGTACAAAGACTTGTTTCCAGTTTGTCTCTGGTGAGGACACCTCCTTTATCTCTGTGCCTCACACCCTCTGCCCCAAACACAAATCAAAACAACCTTCCTCCTCAAGCTCCCTCCTCTCCAGCTGGCCTGTGACTTCAGTGCTGTCCTCTTCCCAGGTCCTGCCCCTGGCTGAAGGAGGCAACAGAGTGGCAGTCACTGTGAGTGATGGTCTGGCTATCTGTCATCCCTGCCAGGGGCCACTGCCTCCTCCTGGAAGGGCACCTGGAGGCCAGCTCTCTTCACTCCTCTCAGCTGGCAAGCAAGGCCTAGCTTTGCAGGATCCAGATCTGATATGCCCTTGACTGTTGTGCCTCTGAAGAAGGCAGTGGGAATAATCTGGCAGCACCAGCAAGCTTGCCCAGGTGCGGCCAGGAAAGCCCACGGCTCCAACCCGTGTGCCCTTGTAGGTCAGACAGGAATTTCCTCATAGCCTGGCTCCAGACTCAGGTCCTCCTTRCCCCAAGCTTTGGCATCAGATTCCCCGGGCTTCAATGCTAGCTATAAGTGACCTTGAACAAGTTCTGTGAACTTCATTTTCCTTTTTGGGTAAATGAGGACAGCAGCAGTTTCTGCCTCATAAATGAGACAGTGCTTGTAAACAAAGCACTCGGCACAGTGCCTAGTATGTACATAATAAGTGTTTGAAACTTGTTAGCCATTATTAATAGTATTATTAGTGTCGTTACCATTATATTAATGTCAGCCTCAGTGTAAGCCACTTTGCCATTCTCCCTGTTTTGTGGCTCACAAAGAGGCATTACTTTCCTCTAATTCAGGGGTTTAAGCTTTTTCCTAACAGTGAGGCCCCTGCAGAGGCCCTGGGTCCCTGTGGGACCAATGGGGTTCACTGCTCTTATACCACCATGCCTGTGACAAATTGGGCACCAGGCCTTCCCCATCTGGTCCAGGGCCAGGACCCCTGCTGCATGCCCTTCTCAGGGCTGTTGTGCTCACACAGACATGCATCACCATTTGGGATGGGTGGGTAGTCCTCCAAAGCCACATCTGTACCCCAGGTGACACCAGGTAACAGCTGATGCTGCAGCCTACTTCCTTGTTCCTCCATGCCACTTCATTAGTTCTCTGGTCATGTTCCAATCTCCAGAGAGACTGGCAGCAACTCTGAATGTCAGCCATAGAAGTAGCAGACAACAGCACCTCCCTGCTCCTGCTCTGGCTGCTGCCCTTGGCCACCCTGCAGCTCAGAGCAGCCTTTCCCTGTCACTCAGGCTCTCACCAGCAGAGAGATTAGCATTCAGATGAGCAAGGAAAAGCATCAGGGCAACCAGCTCCTGTCTTCCTCAGAATCTGAGATTTATTTGGGAAGCAGAGCCCCAGAGAGGTTGAGACAGTTCTGGATGCACAGAGGACAAGGTGGTCCTCTCTGGTCCAGGCTTACTAGGTGCTCCACCCACCCCAACAGTCCCACCCTCTGTCCTCCTCTAYTTCGTTTCGAACTTGCCCATTGCCCAGTACTGCGTATGTGGAGAGACAGGGAAGGAAGAGCCATGGGGTGAGGAGGGGAGGAACCCGGACTGCTCTGAATCTACCATGTGCGGTGGTTTACAGTTCACAACCACACCAGCTTATGTACATGGAACACAAGTGTGCTAAGCACTTCACACACATTGTCTAACTAACCCTCACAATAACTCTCAGAGGCAGGTACTACTATCTTTATCTTATAGATGAGGAAACTGAGGCAGAGAGTCCTGCTGTAACCTTCCCGAGGCCACAGAGGGAGGAAGAGCATCAGAGTCAAGGTTCAGAACCAGGGGCTCAGATCTGGACTTCTTGCTCCCAGATCTTTTCTTATTACTTGGTCAGGGCCAGCACCTGGCTCTTCACCTCAGCTGTCTCTAGTTGCTTGGAGCTCCCTCTCTAAACATTCCTACTCCCACTTCCAAGCAGAGGCTCTTTTCAAGGGAATGGGACTTGGCCTCTGTGGGGACAGCATCATGGTCAGGATTTAAAAGGTCCAGCCTCAACCCAAGCTTCACACTCAGTCTAGGATGGGAGCCAGTTGTATGAGGAGCAGTGCCTGGTCCCGGGAGCCTCCTGTAGAGGAGTCCTAGGCTGAGGGAGGCAACTTTCTGCAGCAGGAGCTGCAAATGTGCAGATTGTGCAGACAGCCAGGGGCGGGAGAGGCCCCGGGAATAAGAGGCGAGCGTGGGCTGGGTGTGCGGGGAAGGTGTAAACACAATCTGCTCCCACCAAAGCCAGCCTGCTCCCTGGGGGAGAGAGCCCCTCCTTCCCAGCCCACATGGCACCCCAGCTGCCAGGCCCAGGCAACCTCCAAGCCCAGGCATTCACCTCGCCCATTCTGCCAGCAGCCCCTTCCTCTCTTTCCCACCCTTAATCTGGAATGGATCCTTGGAGGAACCACCATCTACTCCACAGGCTCATAGACAGTACTGCAAAGGGGTACTGCCCTGTGGGAATATGTCTGGGCCTGGAGCCAGCCCTGGTGCTACTCCATGACCTTGGCTTGACAATTCTTCAGACTACTGGAAAGAGGCAGGCAATATGGAAATGGCAGAGCACAGGGAAGAACAAGGTGACAGGAACATGGCAGAAAGATTAGAGAATGAATGCAAAAGATGAGATCAGGGAACACAGACGGGTCCTGGGAACKGCGCCCTCTGGCCCTCAGCCTGGCAGTCCTGTCACCAGGAAGACTCATGCCTCCCAGAAGAAAGGCAGGCTGACAGGAGCTGAGACAGGTGGCCCAGAGCTCAAGGCCTGGGTCAGACGGGCACTCTGGCTCTGGCAGCCTCCTTCCCCTGGTGTGACCTTCCTCTGCCTCCTGCCTGCCCTACTTTGAGAGGCTCCCATGGAACCTCTTGCGCACACCCCAGCCAGGCTCCCTGCAGCATCAGCAGGCCGCCCCAGCAGGCGGCAGCCTCCTCCTCCAGCACCTCAGAGTGGCTTCCCTTTCAGCAGCAGCATCTCTCACCCTCTCCCTTTGCCTTAGATGTGAAGCCTCCTCCTGAAAGCCAAGGGCAGGGCTCAGCCAGGCATGGCTTCTGGACCAGCAGTGGGGGACTGGCTGGGGAGAAGATGCTTGCATTGGGTTGGGGGGGTGCTTTTGAAGATTAACKGCTGTGAGACAGTTGGGAGCAGCTGCCTGCAGGGTCTGCGCCTGGATCTGGGAGCAGAAGCGGAAATCTGCTTTTATCTCTGCTCCGGATCAGGCAGGGCTGTAAAGAGGGAGAAATGGCAGAGCAGCTGGGGGCAAAGGAGGCCGCACCATTACTGAGCAGTCAGCACATTGACGAAAACAAGCATCATGCTTTCTGCCTTCCCACATGCTAGTGCCTATTTGGAACACATGCGCGCGTGCGCGCGCGCACACACACACACACACACACACACACASAMGACACATTYAGAAGACAAGCTGGTAGCTGCCCCCATCCAGCTGCAGGCAGACATGCCATGGAGCCAACCAGCCTTGCTAATTGATCATTTCAGCAGAGCAGCCCATGACAGGGTGAACTCTGGGGACTGGGAAGAGGCAGACGCCATGGGAAGTAAGTGCCACCATGACAGACTGACACCAGCACAGCCCTAGACCACAAGTCCGTTAACAGAATAGCTCCTGAGCTGGCAGAGGCAGACAGCTGGACCAAAAGAACCCTGCTTTGGCCAAGCAGCTATGAACTAAAAGGTTCTGTGGCCTTGAGGTGATTCTTGAGTCCCCTGTTTTAACATCTAGGCAATGTTAGGCAAATTATTTAACCTGTGTGTTTCCTCATTTATAAAATATGGAAAGAGGGGCTGGGGTTGTGGCCCAGAGGTAGAGCACTGGCCTATTATGCATGAGGCACTGGTTTTGATCCTCAGCAGCACATAAAAATAAAATAGAGATATTGTGTCCACCTATAACTAAAAATAAATATTTAAAAAATATGGAAAGAAAGAAAACAGTATCCATGGGTTATGGTGAGGATTGAATTAGCAAATGAAYGGAAGCCCTTGATGTGTGAATACAAGCTATCAGCCGTTCCTTGATTCTAGAGTGGATCTCCACTTGTCCCTTCCTCTTGCCTGGGCTGTTGGACTGCCCTAGAATTAACCTGGTAGACGCCAGCAAGCCTCCCTCTCTGGGGCTTTTCAGGCTCCACAGTTCTCAGAGGACACTCAGGAACTCAGCAGGAAGGGAAGCCAAGAGCAGGGAGCATCTCCATTCTTTCTGCCAGCCTCATCAGGCCTTGCTCAGGAGGCCCACAGCCAGGCCCCATCAGGGGCTCAAGGCAAGAACTTACCTTCTCCATCACTGCTTCTGCCATCTCTCCCTTGCTGCTGCTTCTGAGCCCGCAGCATCCTTCATGGCTAGGGGCCGAACCAGGACTTGAGCTGCAACAAAAGCCAAAGCCAATCTGCACTTTCTGCCGTACTTAGAGACAGGACTTGTATTTCAGTGTGGACATCCCAGAGCATGGTCTTTCCCTTAGAAAGCATGACCCCCACCTCATCCCCAGGCCTAGAAAATGAGTCAGAACCATGGCCAGTTCTCTTCAACTTTTGCCCCATGTCTGGAAGGGAACAGGTTCAAGAGGGGATTTGAATGAAGGAGCTCAGCCTCCTTCTGGGACCTCAGAGCTGGAAACGGCCTGCTGTGCTCCCACAGGGCCCACCCTTGCATATTTCTTCTTCCTTGTCCCCAGCCCTGCCCTCTGCCCTCCAGACCTCCGGACTCTGCCCTACCTGCCTGTGCCAGGTGATCCCACTTCCTGGAGCAGAGCCCCAACTGATGAGGGGAGGGATTAATTCAGATTCTCCTTCTCCCTGAACAGAGGAAAGCACTAGAGTCAGAGTATCGAAAGGGATGAACTTCCTATGTTTCTGGTTCCCTTTTCCTCCTACTTCCATGCCCAGCATTAAGGGACAGTAGCATCTGAAAAACAACTTGGGATTTATGAGTGTGGAATTAGAAGATGGACTTCACCCCTGTGCCACTCCCAGCCAGCCCTTTGCGGCAGCCATCATCAGCAAGTGGTTCCTCTATGTCAGTCTGATCTTCCCAGGTAACTAGGTCCCAACGAGTTAATAGGCAACTGCTTCCTTCTGCCTGAGTCACACGTACACCAGGCTAGCCAGGCCAGATGGTCCTCAGATTTGGCCTTTCCTAGCCTGCCAGGAGGTCCAGGCCCATTTCATGTGGAAGAGACAGACTGCCTGGAAGTCAGGGGCCGGATGGTCCCCAATCAGTTACAAATTAGATAGACAATCTTGAGCAAGTTCTTCAGATTTTGCTCAGTTTCCTCAACCATTAACAAGAGATTTTTAAAACATGTCCTGCCAACCCTCTGACCAGTGTTGGGATTACTGAGACTTCTAAGTGAGGGACTATGTGAAACAAAAACTTCACAACCAGTGTGATTAACCCTAGTTTACAAGAAATAAAGTGATTATATAACTTGTCCAAAGTCTCTTAGGTAGTAAGAAGGGAGCCAGGACTTTAAATCCTGCTGCCCAAAACTCCACACCATAAACTCAGCAAGAGGCTTAGTCAGCATCTGAGTGCCTCCTTCAAGTGAGACCTGGTGATGCACTCTATGTGTATCAGCCCAGTTAACTGCAGTATTGACCAGGCACCATTATGATCTCAGCTAGCTGTGAGCCAGGAAGGGTGTTACAGAAATGGCTATTTCTCATATGTGTCAGGGCCTCCCATGGGCTTTCTGACTCCAAATATGGGAGAATCCTATGACTGAGATGACAGAGAGAGAGCCATTGAGGACCACTGGCAGGCCACCTGATATACATGGAGGATCACTGGCAGATACCCTCCTACCAGTGGGCTCTGGCACCCAAGTACTTGATAGGATCTTTTGTGCCCTTTGTTTTACTAGAAGTGAGAGAATCACTCTTTAGAGAGGTCTCCCATGCTGGGCAGGGGTGGAGTGGGAGTGGGGAGTGGTTCAAAGGTAGATAATCTCTTATACATGGATACATTAAGTTACTAGTTGACCTTTTTTTTTTTTTTAGTGTTTTCTTTATCACAGGAGCCCCTGTCATCAAAAGACACTGGTCATCCAGGGAAGGAAAAGTCTAGAAGTGCCCACAACCTTGCCCCCTAAAGGCCACAAGGATTCAGTCCAGGGAAGAGTTAACTTTCTGGCCACTGGAGACAGCGTCCTGCCCGAAGGGGCTGTCCAACCAATGGCACTCAATGCTGATGATGTCATGCTCCTTCTGCGCCTTCTATTGGGGACTGGACAGCGAATCCTGCTGGAGGTTCAGGCTGTGGAGCTACTGAGGAGGGTGGGCGGGGGCAGAGGGAGACAGAGGGGGAGGGAAGGGCAAGGCTAGGCTGCAAAGCTACACGGAGCGGCTTCGGCCTCCTCCCTCTCCCCACTTCCCTGAGCCTTCCTTGAAGGTGCTCCTGGGCACTGCCCTGGTTAGCACTAACACTGGGAGAAGCAAAGCAGCAGTTTGGTCCAGAAGAGGGGGCTGGGGGCTCCCACTGCTACCTGGTGAAATAGGGAACAGGTGACCAAGGTGAAGGCCAGAATTACTAAAGTGTGAGCACGAACGTGTGCACCCACACACACTCACTCACAGCCGCAGGCACACACAGCAAAAGCTTCTTTGGGTAGCACCCTCCCTCCTCTACCCTTGACTCCCTTCTGCTTCACCTGCCCGAGGACTGGAGGTCTGTGTCCCTGCTGCTTCCCATAACAGTCCCATCCACTCTGCTGGAGTCTCTGTGGGAGGGAAGAGCAGACAGGAAGAGCTGTGAGCTGTGCCCAGCCCCCTGCTCTGAGTGACTCTCAGATTCCCTGCCCAACCTGCTGGAGGTCACTTTCAGCCCCTGCCCWCCTTCAGCTTGGCTGTGGCCCAGGCCAGCAACCACCACCACCACCACCACCCCTCCCCCTCGTCCCAAGGCACACCCCAACCCACAGCCCAATCAGTTTCTCACGGTTGGACCCGGTTGGCAAATCGTCGGCGCCAGAGCATAGCCAAGGTGCTGAGCAGGAGGAGAGTGGTGCACATGGTTCAGCTGCCCCATCCCCCCAGACGGAGGCTGCAGAAGAAGGCCACAGGCAAGGGACCACAGTGGCCCTGGCCAGTTCTCACAAACTGCTGCCCTCTGTCCTGAGGCTCCTGCTGGGGATGGATTAGAAGGATCAAGCTGATTAGTGGAGTCAGCAGCCCCGACCTTGTGAAGACTGATTAACCTCACTGGACCCAAGATCTCCCCTTCAGTGATAGGGCAAGTCCACCTTCTTGGAAATGTGTACAGTGGCACTGAACACCTATCTGGAATGTAGGTTCCATATACCTGGGCCTCACCCTCAGGGGCTGATGGTCTAGACAGATGTGCTGTCCAGTTAAGCAGCTGGCTGCAACACAGTGACTTAGGCACGATGAAATATGGCTACAGAGCACTCTGGGAGTTGCGGGTACCAGGAAAGCTTCAGAGAGGAGCCGGAGGATCTGAAGTCGGAGGATCTGAAGTCGCAGGTGCTCAGGAAGGACCTCAGAAGTCTCTGCCCAGACTGCTGACAAGAAAGTAGCAGCATCTTCCAGGAGATGRAGTGGAGCACAGAGGAGGCACCAGGAGAAGAGAAGAATATTTAAATGACGCTAGAAAGACCAGGCAAAGCAGAGAGGAAAGGGCTGGCTCAGCCCCACCCTCCAGATAACCTTCTCCGAACTTTTCTGATTATACACCCTCCTCAGAAAAAGGCAGAATTTAAGATACAGATTATAAATTCTATCTTATATAACTACCTTATATAATTTAGATATAAATTTTAAACTTATAAATTACATACTACTGCACAAATRCATTCCTACACCTTAAGACATATATAGAATTTGTGAAGGATGAAATGAAAATCAATAAGACTCCTCTTAAAGTCTGTCCTCCTTGGGGAGCTGCTTGGGAAAGGCTCCACACCAACTGAGGGTACAGTCAAGGGAGTTTGGTGTGTGTCCTTCATGGAGCAAGTCATGGCAGGGCTGGGACATAGTATGAGAGTAAGGTGAGGACCTGACCACCCACCCCACTTCACCTCATCCAAGATGGCAGAAAGCATGAGATTTTCCTTCCCTTAACTGAGGTGGGGGTAGTGTCAGCCTACTCCTGCCCAGGGGTCCCATCAAACACCTGAACCCTGGATCCCAAGGAGGAGTCAGGCTGGCCCTCAGCCTGCCTAGGTTACTGCTTCCCTTAGTTCTGGACTTTGAAATTGGATTTTTAAAAATTAAGTCAGGAATCAAAAGTTGAAGAGGAGAGCTACCCCCGGCCATGCTTGGGCAATGAAACACCAATATTTGAACACAGCAAGGATGACCAGGGAGATTAAGGAAAACTGGACATATTCCACATGTAGTGTGACATTTGTAGACAATTGCAAGCCCTGTGTGGCCTCAGGCTTCCACTGAGAGTCAGAGGTGAGGCATGCTATCCCCAAGACTGARCAACTGCTGGACAGGGCTTTGGGTCTCAGGAGCACAGTGCCCACCTCTGGCCCAATCTCACACCTCCCTGAGCAGTCCAACAGGGTGAAGGGTTTGTCTCCCCAACCTCCAGAACTGGGACCTTGGTGATCCTGAGATATCTTCAGTGGCCTGGACCTTTCTCAAGACTTTTTTTTTTTTTTTTAATAGTTGTAGATGGACAGCATGCCTTTATTTGTTTAGTTTTTATGCTGTGCTATAGATCGAACCCAGTTAGCCCCAGCCCTCTCAAGACTTTTTGACCCCTATGTCCCCTCTGCCATACCTGGCTGCTTCTTCCACAGACTTCACTCCGACACGGCCAGGGCTAGAATTCAAGGCAGAGCCTGGTTCTTTSCTACCAGTATCATTAATAAGCCAACCACCTACTTCTTTCAGCCACGTGCGCGCGTGCACCAAGGGAGATGGGGTTTCAACCAGAAGAAAGAGGGGCGCAGGCCTTTGGGATCCAAGACTGGAGGTGTGCTCAAGTTCCCGGAGGCGGCAGATCTATGGGGCTTCGACCCTGTTCTAAACCTGCCAGAGTGGAGACTCGGGAGCCTACAGCGCCAGCGGGAGCGAGTCTGMCCGCGATAGGGCTCGCGTTCGCCCCCTCGGACCGGCGACAGGCAGCCACTCCGCAAATCCCTGGGAGTGTTTGACTTTGAGACAGTTCCCCGCCACGTGAAAGGTGTYGGTACGCACTCGTCCCGTCATCGCGCGCGGTGGGAGCCGGAGCACAGTGTACCCGGTCCGGCACCCGCCGGGGCGCACTCCTGTGCGGCCCGCGCAGCCCAGCGCCGCGTGATCGCCAGATCCTCCCGAGACCCCTCGGCACGTCGGCCACACCTACTTCTTGCCCCGCCCGGTGGGGACCGGCGGGACCGCCGTGGCCTTGCGGGTGAGTGGGCGAACGGCGCTAGCCGCGTTGCCCGCACCCCGCCCAACCTTCACCTTGCCAGAATTGGCTCACCGACACAGGACTGGGGCTTCGGAGAAGATTTGTTTTTTTAAACATTTTTCCAGCAGACCACATCCCCGCCCCCCGCTCGCGGTCCCCCGCCCCCCGCACATATACCCTGCACACACACGCGCGCACACACACACACACACACACACACAGCGCACACAGGCACACACGCTCCCTCCCTCCGGCGCTCTACCCCTCGCTCGCCCGCCCGCCCGCCCGCCGCGCACGCAGCCGGCCCCGGCTCCCCGCGCCCAGCGCCCCGCGCCCTGCAGCCGCCGAGCGAAACCGGGCTGGGCTAGGAGCTGCTCATGGAGAAAGTGCCTGGCGAGATGGAGATTGAGCGCAGGGAGCGCAGCGAGGAGCTGTCCGAGGCGGAAAGGAAGGCGGTACAGGCTACGTGGGCCCGGCTGTATGCCAACTGCGAGGACGTGGGGGTGGCCATCCTGGTGAGGTAGGTGTCGCCCCGGCCCGGCCGGGCCCTGGGCAGGGAGGGCGGCAGTGGCGCCGGCAGAGGCAGGCTCGACCGGTCCGAGCTCCAGCGCCACCTCCCCAGCTGCGATGGGGGCCAGTGGGGGGCGGGCAGCGTGCAGCGCCCTGGGATGATCAAAACCGGGCTGAGCTGTTCCTGCAATTAGGAACCAGACGCAGGAGGGCACTTCAGTCCCCTTCCTCTCCCTGGCCTCAGCACTCCTGGCTCCACCGGTTTTCCTCCCCAGGGACCCCAGCCACCCAGACAACTATATGCACACACAAATGCCAGCCTCTCAAAGGGACAGCAGGGAAACTGAGGCTTAGCCAAGAGGGTTTCAGAGAGGAGAAGACCTCTCTCTGCAGCTCAGCCCCTCGGAGGAACCGAACCCAGAGCTGGAGAGTAGAGGTCAGAAGGAGTCCAAGACTGAGCTTCAGTTTTCTCAGCTGCTTGCTTCCTGCCCCAAGGGGAAGGACCAGCAGAGAGCTAAAGTGAGGCTCAGGTGAGTGGGAAGTCACCAGTCCCCTAGAGTGCAGCCCCTGCTGAGTTTGGTACTTAAAAAGAGAAGCTGCAGGAGACAGGGCCCCGCCCTGGAATCCCACAGCTAGGGAGGACATGGAGTGTCTGTGGGCTCAGGGTTCATTCATTCAGGCACCATGCCCCTGAGGGACCCCTCTACTCCCAGAGTGGYGCTACATTCTCACACCCATACAGGGGTGCACACACACCATTCCTTTAGAGTTGATGTCCCCAAGCTCCACAAGCTGAACACTGACCATAGCTACAGATCTAGACTCTATCCGCACATGCTGGTCCCTGGGGTGCAGGCAGAGAGGCCCAGACCACTCTTCTCAGCCYCCTGTCCTTGGCAGAAGAAAAGTTGTCAAATCTAGGACAGAGTACACAGCCTTGTTACATGAAGATGGGGCCARACCTCACTCTGGAAGGAGAGCGCTAATGCATGTCTCTCCCAGTCCTGGCCCTGTCTCRGGCTCCTCTTCTCCCTCCTCTCTCTCCCTTCTGCCTCCCTCAAGCGGGGGACCTACCAACCTTCATATTGTATACCCTGATTCCAACTTGGAAACAGATTTTGGAGGAAAAGAGCAAGAAACACTTCGGGGAAGTTGGAGATTCCTGAGGAAGGGGCTATTCCTCAGCTCCCAAGCCCAGGAGCCCAGCTGTGGTGGTGAGAAGTAAAGAGGAGGTTTGGGATCCTGAAGCCTCAGACACTCTGAGAGGAGCCACAGATTGGCATGTGCCAGCACCCACACAGCACACAGTGGGGAGCCGAGTCGCAGATGCGCCAGACTGTATCTCAGGAGGGCTGCTCTCCGCCATGTGTTGGCACACATAGCCCTCCGGGCCGCCAACGCATCTGGATGCTCACATGGGTCACCCAGAGGAAACTAGGCAGGGCCCACAGGACTATGGAGGTTTTCTGTTCCAGGCCCTGCCATTGACCAGTGAGGGACTCCCCAGGAATGGGGAGCARGCGGAGAAAGGAACTGGGCCCAGAGGGCTCATGTTCTGGGTCATGTGAGCCCTTAGCATGGTGATTATTTCTCTCTGTACCCCCCTCTGGGTGCCCATTCCTCACACTCAGGGGACTGGCCCAGCTGGGGGAGGTATTTATCAATATGTTCAGAGCCCAGACAGATGCCCAGACTGATTGGAGAAGGCCTGAGGTGGCCGTGAGTTTTGGCTTCCTGGTGCCAGGGCCACACTCTGAGCCCACCCTGTGCTGTTGAATGGAGATGGGCCTGGACAGCCAGCCATTTTCTGCCAGCTCCAAGTCCCATCAGCCTTCCTCTCCTTGTCTTCCTCCTGTTGCTGTTACCCCAGGGTCTGGCCAGTGGGGAGGAGCAGAAAGAGASCAAGGACAAGTCCCATTCGCTTCTCAGGTTCCTGGAGCCCCTGCTCAGATCCTGCCCGTGACCATCTTCACACACACAACACGTAAATCCACAGGAGTGGCTTCAGTGAGAGCCCTGGACGCTGACCCTCTGCTCTGGCCAGCACTCTTACCTCCTCCCCTGCTGCCCATGGCCCATCTGCCCCTTGAGAAGGTGGCTGGAGGGTTGGTGATGGAGGAAGAGCTGACTTGGGGCCTGAGGCAGACACACTTCCACTCCCTGCAAGGGGAAGGGACCAGAGGGAACACCCACCCTCCCTCCTGGTTGTAACGCTGACACCTTCCCCCTCACACTCCAAGGAGCCTATTTCAGGCTCTGGAAGCCCAGATGCCTCTGTAGCTGAGAAACTCCCCAAGGCTGGTTGTGAGGCTTCTCCCTGGCAGCGCAGGCCAATCTGGGAGGGTCAGAAGGAAACACGGGGTCTGGAGAGTGAAGCTGGGAATCAGGAGCAGAGTTGGCATCCCCGGACTCTCCTGGCCCAGAGCCCTGCTTCTGGGGGACTGTTGTTCCTCAAAACCACAACACAGCCCCATGTTAGACAGGAGATTCTTCTGGTCCCAGGCCAAGAGCCCCCCATCCAGCAGTGTCCCCAGGCACTCTGCAGAAGCCAGAAAAATCTAGCTCCTTCCTGGTCCCACCACCCACCTTATTGGGCAGCCTTGGGCATCGATCCCTAGCCCATCAGACAGGGATAAAAATAGTGCCAACCTCAGGAGGGAACTGCAAGAATTTGAGCCCATATAGAAAGTGCTCAATGAATGTTCCCTGTTATTTTTTTTTTAAAGAGAGAGTGAGAGAGAGAATTTTTTAATATTTATTTTTTAGTTCTTGGCGGACACAACATCTTTGTTGGTATGTGGTGCTGAGGATCGAACCCGGGCCGCTYGCATGCAAGGCGAGCGCGCTACCGCTTGAGCCACATCCCCAGCCCTCCCTGTTATTTTTCTCAGCAGCAAAATGGATAAAACACCTGCTTAGTTGTGGCTGTTAAATACAATATGATAGGTGAAAGAACACCAGGCAATACAAACATCATTATTTTTATTGCAGTTGTAGAAGTCCCACARTCTGAGATGCTCACTGAAGTCCAGACTGGCTTTCCACTTTGTCCCTCATTATAGTACTTCTCCAGAAAAATCCAGTGTATTTGCAGACCCATCACCTCATTTGCCTTACCCGTGTTATCTTCAAAGAAGCAAGCGGGAGGATGGCCCACAACTTCTGCAGAGTAGGAAGTCCTGAAGTGCTCTCCCAAGGTCACGCTCAGCTTCAAGAGAGGCCCTCCGGGCTCCACATGGACTGTGCCCTGGTCACTGTCTGAACCTCCCCCACCAAAARCAGATGCTTGCCCTGCCTCTGATCCAGCTCTCACATTGAGACTTGACCCCTAGCCAGACAGCAAATTGGCAAATTATTAGCTCTCCCTGATCATGAAGGGGGACATACCAAGGGGACAAACACCTGAAAAAACATTGTCCCACTCTCTGAGGATTCGTTAAGCCATGCACGTTCTGCCCAGGTCCCAGCATGTGTSTCTCATGACGCCCAGCCCCTGTTGGGAGAGGAAGTACCAATGTCATTGTCGCGCTGCATGTTGCAGGGCCCTGGCCCTGGGTGTGTGAGATCCAGCTTCTGCCTGACTGTGACAGTGGCAAGGAAGGTCATTTGAGTGGCACTAATGGCTGTGAGAGAAAGTGGTAGCTGTGGCCAGCCTGGGAGCTCAGGGAGAGGCAGGYCAGATGTGGGCTGAGTTGAGGAGGCGATGCACTCTGTGGAAAGCAGGAATTTCTTACCCTTGTAAGTACAGCTGTTGGACTGGACAGAGATGGCTCAAGGGGAGGGGAGAAGGTGGATATTTGGAGATGTGGCAGTGGACAGTTTGTAAGAAGCCTCCGTGTCCAGTTAAGGAGTTTTGACTTTGTCTGGGAGGTAGATGGGAGCCGTTGGAAGTTTCTGATCATGCGAGTGACTTAGTGAAAGCACTATGGGCACTGTGTTGGGGCAAGTAGACAATTGTAAACAAACCAGAGAGGATCACCTGGGATCTGCTCCAAGAAGTTTAGGGGCTTGTTGGGAAGGTAAGATTTACAGATTCATTTCAATAAATAAGTTCAGAACCATACCAGGTGGGTAAAATCAATTGCCGTTTTTAATTAAATCAGTTAATCAATACTGCAGGCTGAGGAGGGAGGCAGGTAACAAGAAGGGAAGAGGCTGAGTTGGGAGGAGGTCGGAGGCTCCCAGTTTCTTCTCTTCACTGCTCAGTGGCCTTGGACCTTACTTGGTTCCTAAAGAACTCTACCTTTACCATAACGAAGGCCGGTATTTACTGAGCCCCTGTGTGCCCGTCAGTCACTGTGGTGAGGACAAGCCATTACTCATTTCATCCTTAAGGCAACCCGTGAGACAGAACAATAATGCCCATTTTAGGGATGGGAATCTGAGTCTCAGGAAAGATGAACAACAATCTGGGTACAGAGGCTAGAGCCTGGGGTCCCAGGTACTTGGGAGGTTGAGATGGGAGGATCACTTGAATACAGGAATCGGAGGCCAGCCTGGAGGGCTCCCAGGGCAGCAGAGGTGACCACTGGGCAGCCCAGCCTCGTCCCTGGGTATTAGGGTGAGACCCCATCTGAGAAAAAAAAAAAAAGTTGTATAACTAACCTGGATTCCAGAACCCAAGGGCCAGAGCAGGCCTTGAGGAGGGTGGGGTCAGAAAGCAGTGGGGGAGCCAGGAAGGTGGGGGCTGGGAGAGGAAGCTGCCTGCCAGAGGGAGCCCCCGCTGCTGCTGCTGCAGGGACCACTGCTCCAGCCCCCACCTCCGTGGTTCCCCCCTTCCCCTCCCTCCTCCCTCCCCTTGCTTCAGCACCACTTCCTCCCACCTGCCAGGTTCTTCGTGAACTTTCCCTCCGCCAAGCAGTACTTCAGCCAGTTCAAACACATGGAGGAGCCCCTGGAAATGGAGCGGAGCCCCCAGCTKCGGAAGCACGCCTGCAGGGTCATGGGGGCCCTCAACACTGTGGTGGAGAACCTGCACGACCCCGACAAGGTGTCCTCTGTGCTGGCCCTCGTGGGCAAAGCCCATGCCCTGAAGCACAAAGTGGAGCCMGTGTACTTCAAGGTACGCCCTGGACGGTGCTGCCCCCAGCAACCTGCTCTGCTCCAGAGCTCTCAGGCCCATGCACCATGGCCACCTGCAGCCCGCAGGCTCTGGGAGAGCTCCCAGGGCAGCAGAGGTGACCACTGGGCAGCCCAGCCTCGTCCCTTGTGACCTGGAGAGCAGAGTCTAGCAGCAGGATGGGCCACAGGGAAGTCCTGGTCTTGAGAGTGACCAGCTTCTACAGCGAGCAGGCCCTGGGGTTAGGAACGATCCCCGATCCCCGTGGCCAACTTGGGACAGGAGGGTCGTGCGGGAGGCAAGGCATCAGATGTTCACTCCCCCTTCCTCCCTTTGCCCCCAGATCCTCTCTGGGGTCATTCTGGAGGTCATCGCTGAGGAGTTTGCCAATGACTTCCCACCTGAGACGCAGAGAGCCTGGGCCAAGCTGCGTGGCCTCATCTACAGCCACGTGACCGCTGCCTACAAGGAAGTGGGCTGGGTACAGCAGGTCCCCAACGCCACCACGTGAGGAGGGGGTGAGGGTGGGCTGGGCAGCCTCCCTGCTGTGTCCTCTCCAGTTTTCTAGATCTTCCATCTCTCCTGTGGCCTGGGGCTGACCCTGGGGCAGGAACCCTTTGGGCAGGCCAGCTCATTTAAGAGCAGGCACAGTAGAAAAGGGTCACAAGACAGGGCCCCTCTGACCGTGGGTTGGCTCCTACCCAGCACCTACCCTGCCCAGAGGCGTGAGCCTAGTAAACTTTCCTTGGGCAGAGCCGTCCTCTTCCCTAGAGCAAGGAAGCCCTTGGAGCACCCAAGGCCCAGAGACAGAAAGTCCCCAGTGAGGTTTGGCTTCTCAGGCTCAGAGGCAGCCCCGCCAGCTCTGGCCACTTCCTCCCTGGGTACCAGTCACATGCTTTTTCATCCAACACTGACCAAGGCTCCCATCCACCCTCTGCCTCAACAGGGGTCAGAGCCAGGAGGATCACGAGGACGGGTGTGCACACACACATGCCTGGGGCCCATGTGGGACCTACATGGGTGTCGCCTGCACGCTACCCGGGGATGTTTACGTCCAGGCTGACCCTGAGGCTAGCTCCCAGTCCTGGGCTCTAGGAGAGTGGCCGGCCCCATGTGACGGCTGGGAACACTCTGGCCTCCCTGGGCCTCTGAGGGGCGGCTGACTCTGGGAGCTGAATGGAAGGGCGGACACAGGGCTCCAGTAGGAAGGAGAAAGAGGAGCGGAGGCRGGAATGGGAAGCAGGGGTCAGCCAGCGGCTCAGGACACGCGTTGTAGAGAAACATTCCCAGCAGTTTCCCATGGAAAAGCCAGCGTCCCCTCCCCAACTCTGTGCGGCCCCCAAGCCTGCCGGACCTCTTGCTCACAGTCCTCCTGGCCCAGCTCCACAAGGGATGTCCCCTGAGGGCAGTGGGGGAGGCCAGGCCTGCTGCCCTTCCTGCCGCTGACCAACAGCTTGTGTGGCTCCCCTCCCCCGTGTCGGCAGCACCCCAGGAGAAGGGAACTCTCAGGAACTGTCGGCTTCTCCAGGCCAACTCCAGATGTGCACAGCTGGGCCCYGGCCTGCCCAGACCCCAGGCAGCAGGAGACTTCTACCTGCCAGAGCAGGGCATGAGCAGAGCTGGGGAGCTGGGGTTCCCCCCTTCCCCTCCCTCCCCACCCAATGTAACCCTGAGGAGCCAGGGAGGAGCCAGTGGGAAGGCAGTCACCGAGGGGCTCACCCTTCTCCCTCCCACTTGTGTCCCCAGGCAGGCTCTGCCGCCCAGGATGAGTTTGTTTACAGCCAGGAGACAAGACTTCCTGCTTTTCCAGAAAAGCGCTTTTTTACAGGGGCCTGGAGGGACCGCAGAGCTGGCAGTTGAGCCCCAGTGAATCAAAAACACAGGGCCTGCGCCCTACTTCCCCTGCCCATTTGGGCCCCAGGGACTCAGATCTCGCCAAACCCCAAACATTAAGAAACTATCGCAGTTGCCTCATCTGCCTGTCTCTGCTCCCTGTGGACTGAATGGAGATGGGCTGTACTTGGGACTGGCCAGGGCCCAGCCGCCTCCCACCTGGGATGAGGAACCCACAGTCAGATTCCCCTCATCTGTCACATCACAGGATTTTTCCCGCATCCCTTTACAGCCTCCACCCCTGCCCCAGTCTCCTGGGTGCATGGGTGTGGGCCCCCAAGAAGACATGTCATCCTGGTCCCCAGCCTGCAGGCCCAACCTACTGCCAGGTCCTGCTGGGGTAGAGTTAGAGCTGACTTCTAGAAGGCCCCTGTCCAACTTCTCTTATCAGGGCAGCAGTGGTGGGCCAGACGCCACTGTTTATTGAACTTCAGGGTGTGTGTGCCTCTGTGTGGGCGGAGGGGCGGTGGGGGGTGTGGCAGTCGGAGACCGCAGGGACTGCAGTACAGGGAACAGGGCTGGCTGGCTGGGGAGGTCCAAGGCAGGCCAGACAGAGGGCACCCTGTCGCAGAATGAGCAGAGGAAGGGCTCATGGGTGGTGCTTTGCAGTTTACAAAACACTGTTTTACACTGTCAATGTCACCCAATTCCCATACAGGCAGGCAAGGCAGGCATTCACATTTTAGGGGAAAAGATCTGGGTTGCTCTTGGGGCACCCGACATGCCCAAGGTCACCCAGCAGGATAGGATCATGGCAGAAGGGGAACTAAGACTCGGGTCTGAAGATGGCYTTCAACTGCACTGTGCCAGGTCTGTCAGCAGGAAGTACCATGCCTTGCCACCTCCAGCCACCCCCAGGTTCCCTGTCTCCCTCCCTGACCCTGATAACCTATTACCTCCGTCTCCTATCTCATCCACAGCCCACCCACCACGCTGCCCTCTTCGGGGCCGTAGGACCCCTCCCAGCTCCCCCCTCCCTGGCAGCACCTTGAGCAGAAGGCCGAGTTCTGAAGACGCTCCTTGACCCTCCATTTCTGGGTGCCAAGGAAGCTGGAGGAACCCCCGACTGTCTTCCCGAAGGAGGCCTCCACCGTGGCCGCAGTCCCCCGAGCTGCCGGGAGGCAGCGCTGGCTGCCTGGATGCTGACTCCAGCCCAGCGGCAGGCGGGGACCCCTCCGCCTTGCAGATCGGGGCCCACTCTTCTTAGCTTTTCTACTCACTGTTAAAGAGGGACCTAGCTGAGTGGCTGGCGGGAAGCAGGGACAGGTTTGAGTCACTCGAGAATGAAGCAGCCCTGTTTGGTTCTGCCGACCAGCATGCGGGTCTCCACCTCACCATCTAGAGTACTGCGCACACACGTCTACCGTATACACAGATATATTCTCTCTACAGTCTCTATATAAATATATATACATATAGACACACCTACATATCTATCATGTTACCTGCGGGCCCAGTCCTGCCCACCGGTGGGTGGGACCAGAAGGATCCTGGTGGCACAGGCCTCTGGGCAGACAGCAGTGTGCCCTGGCCCTGGTATCCCACAGCAGATCAGAGAATGGGGCCTGGATGGGTAGGGCTGGGGGGGCCCAGCTTGGTGGCAAAGCCCAGCCCACTCTGACCAGCTCCCCACATTCTTGCTTCCCACTTCCAGGCAAAAAGGACCTGGCTCCCTCCCTCTCCTCCACAGAGGGTCAGTTCACTGATGTGCCCTGGAACYGGCTGGGGCAAGGGCAGACCCAGGGGCCCAGACAGGATGACAGCTAGGGGTGGGGCCTCAGTGAAGAGACCTGGCGTGCCAGCCCCACCTGCCGGCCGCTGAGCCAGCCTTGGGAATCCAGGCTGCTGGGCAGCAGGACAGGCACCTCAGGCTCACCCCTCAGGCTCTGAGGGCTGAGGGCCCTGCCCCTCCCTGCCCCGCTCCTGGCTGCCAGTCGGTCCACCCCCCCTCTGTGTCAGCCTCGCTGGGGCCCCCCACGTGTGTCCCTTAGTCTCGTGTATCATCCTGAAGGATGGTCTGCTGCCGTGGCTACTGTGCCTGTGTCCCCCCTCGTGCGGTCATCCTGTAACTGCCTGTCCTCCTTTTGTARTTTCTGATGTTTGTTACCAGACCCAGCTGTGGCATTAAACAGACCTGCTCTTCCTGAATCCGCATTTGCTCATCTGCTCCGCCTCCTGCCTGGGGCTGTCTCCCCTCCCTAGTTCTAGGTCCAGGAGCGGGGGCACCCTGACCTGTGCCTCAGCCTCGGCTGCCTGTGTGACCCTCTCTAAGTTGGGCCTTAAGACTGCTGTGGGCCCCTCGCCTGTTTCACCAGGAACATGGGTTGGGGGGACTAGAAACTGGGCTTTGTGGGAACCAGGAGGGTGTCTGTCCTGATCAAAAAGTCAGGGGCTTTTAAGATTTTGTTCTGGAAATCTCCTCCTGGCAAGGGTGGGATGACCGAGGGGAAGTCATGGGAGAGATGTCCAGCAGCAGGGCCCTGTTAGTCTGAGGCTCCAGGGATAGAGGCAAGGATTGACCCTGACCTTCTAGGCCAAACCCAGCTCCACACAGAGAGCTGAGTGCAGGGCTGGATTAGCCCTGGGTGTCTGAGAAAGGAAGCCTGCTGGGATCAGCCCGAACCCCCTTTCCTGAGCYCTCAGCTCCAGACCCTTCCCAAGCCCTGCTGCACCAGGCCTGCCCAGCCCCCACTCCCCAAAGGAGGCAACAGCCAGCAGCATCAACTCCCCCAGGAGGGAGGAGGAGGTCACCACACTGGGGGGGGGGGGCAGGGGAAGCAGGAAACAGCCTCTGCCCCTTGGGAGGGCTTGGGGCTGTCTGGGAGGACTCAGCTGACACACAGGAAAAATCTTGTCTCCCAGACCATGAACTTGAATACRGGCTGCACCTTCATCTCCTGGGCCTGGCACAGTGGAGTACTCCAYGGAAATCCAAAGAATAAATAAATATCACTCTTAGAAAGCAAGACGAGTACATGGGCCAAGAGTGAGCTATGTGAGCTGAAAGAGGGTGCAGGGTGGCCGGAGGAGGCCAGGCCAGGCCAGGCCTTTCCAGAAGGCAGCAAGCAAGATGAGGCATGGCTCCAGGTTCAGACCCAGTCTCTTAGTGCTGTGTGATGGGAGAAAATCCCTCAACCTTTCTGAGCTACAGTCACCTCTAATCTAAAAGAGGAGGGAACAAGTAGCCTGCCTTGTGAAGCAGGGACCAGGAGGAAAAGGATGTACACGATGCTTCACACAGGCTAAAGGGACAAGGGATTTGTCCTGGACACTGATGTCCACCCMACCGGAACCCTAGAACCAAGGGAGGTGGGCAGCTGGACTGGGCCCTGACAGGAATCCTGAAAGAGCAGGGGCAGAGACAAAAGGGAGGAAGGAGGTGGATGGACCAGGGCGACACCAAGAGGCTAAGGGCCCAGAAGAGAGGTAGAAGCAGCCCTGGAGACCTTCCAACTCCCCGGCCTCGTGGCCACTGGGGTGCTCACCCAAGCCAGAGCCGAGCCTTTGGTGGCCATGCAACCCCAGGGGAGGAGGCATTTGAAATGGGAGTGGGGTGACCCTCCCCATTTCACCTCACTTCACTTCAGTTGGCTTGAGAAAAGTGAAGAGGCTTCTAAAGCTGTTGAAACTGGGATCATCCTGGAATGTGGCCCTAGAGAAAGAATATCCCTCTCTCTACCCGCCAAGAGGTCCCTGGCTCTCTCCCCAGACCAGGGATAGGTGTCCAAGGGCTGCAGTTTAGGCGCCTGGGCAGTGCCTGGGGTGTCATTCCGCGCTCTACCCTCAGAGCTGCAGCCAAAGAGCTGAGCAACTGTATCAGCTCCCCCTAGTGGGCTGCCCCATGGGGCGTCAGAAATGGGGGTGCAAGGAGGCTGCAGAGGCCCCAGCGGCACAATTCCATGGTGACCCCTTCTGGCCAGAGAGGGAACTTCACCTAGGAAGCGATTTGCAACCTTCCCAATCTGGGAGTCCCACTTTGTTCACCTCAAAGGAGCCACAGCCCTCTAGGAGCCTGGGACAAAAGGAAAAGTGCCCAGCCTACACACGTGGGTGGGAACATACTTCCACAGTTTGAACCAAGTGGAAAAAGTTAACACTCGAATTTTGGGGKTTTTTTTTTGGACCAGGGGCTGAACCCAGGGGTGCTTAGCTGTTGCGCCTCATCCCCAGCCACATCCCCAGCCCTATTTATTTTTTAWTTTGAGACAGGGTCTCATTAAGTTGCTTAGGGCCTCACTAAGTTGCTGAGGCTGGCTTTGAACTTGCAATCCTCCTTCCTCAGCCTCCTGAGCCACTGGAATGACAGGTGTAAGGAGGTGCATACCTGAAATCCCAGCTACTCAAGAGTCCGAGGCAGGGGGACTGAGCTCAGGAGCGCAGGACCAGCCTGGGCAGCACAGAGACTCCACCCCAAAACAACAATAAAAGCCTATCTTTGTTTAAAATTTTGAGTTTTTCTTCCTCATTGATGTTTTTGTTCTAATATCGATTTTTAAAAATAGCGTAAGCAGATATTGTTTTTCTGGATTACCATCCCCCTTAAATGTTGGGTCCCATTTCCTGGCCCGTCTCAGTRCGTTGTTTGAGGGAGCCTGGCTGAAGAGCTCCCCTCTTTTACCTCAAGCAGGCCTCCCCTCTACCCACAGGTACTCACTAGACCCCTTTGGTAAGAGAATTTATTTCAGCAAGGTAAGACGCCCGGCTTTGGCACTTCCTTAGGGCCAGAGACACTGAGTCGGGAGTTTCGGCAGCCGGAAGAGAGGTCTCCCCAGGCTCTCAAAGTGAGGAAGGCTGTCCTTAAGGACAGTCTTGGAAAAAGGGAATCAGATTTCTGGGGATTGGGGAAAAACCACATGATCCAACCTTTCTGGAAAGAGGAAAATGAACAGGGAGAGTGGAGCWCTGGGCCTGGGCTGCCCGCCACGTAGCCTGAGGTCTCTGGGTCTCCACTCCCCTCAGGTGGGCTCCTGGACTTCCCTTTCCTCTCACCATTGAGAAACCAGCTGTCAGTCTCCACAGCAGAAAGGTGCTGTTCCAGACGACCTTTCTTGTCATCTGTGGGTGGACCAAATCCAGCTCCAGCCATGTGCTGCACAACCTGGCTACTGCTACGGTCCCAGCACCAAGGGCTCACCTGGCAAAGGACAGAGACACCATCCCAGACGGCTTCCTGTTGGTGTCTTTTCTTTTTTTTTTTTTTTTTTTTGTATTCGGGATTGAACTCAGGGTCACTCAGTCACTGAGCCACATCCCCAGCCTTATTTTTTATTTTATTTTTTTTGAGAGAGAGAGAGAGAGAGAGAATTTTTTTAATATTTATTTTTCAGTTTTTGGCGGACACAACATCTTTGTTGGTATGTGGTGCTGAGGATCGAACCCGGGCCGCATGCATGCCAGGCGAGCGCGCTACCTCTTGAGCCACATCCCCAGCCCCTTATTTTGCATTTTGTTTAGAGACAGGGTCTCACAGAGTTGTTTAGCGCCTCACTTTTGCTGAGGCTGGCTTTGAACTTGCAATTCTCTTGTCTCAGCCTCCCGAGACGCTGGGATTATAGGCATGCACCACTGCACCCAGCTTCCTGTTGGTTTTAACTCCTGGGTCACAGGTGTTTTCTGTCCCCTGGCCCACAGCATCCAGCCCTCAGGCCCCGTGGCCCCCTCCCATGCCTGTGACCGTCTGCCCTTCCCGGCGTGGCCCTGGCTATTTCAGGCTTCACCCAGGTGTATCCTCCTTACCTTCTGCCACACAGCTGCCAGCTGCATCTGACGCTGTTCCTGTTCAAGAGTCTCCAGTGGCTCTCACACCGTCCCAGCACCTCAGCCATTGAAGCCCCACAGCCTGGCACCAGCCTGCTTCCCTGGCCTGAGCTGGCAGAGCCAACTCGGCCACTCTCCTTCACACGTTGGACTTCATCCAGCTGTGGGTCCTTCTCACTCACCTCCCCCCGCAGGAAAACCATCAGGACGGGGAGAGTGGAGATCTGGGCCTCGGCTGCCCCCACATGACCTGAAGTCTCTCCACCCACGGCCGTGGCGCCTGTCCTTGCCAGAACCTTCCCTGACCACCCTCCTGGCAGGGCCCCTCCTTTGGTGCTGTGAGTACCTCCCTCCCTGTGAGCACTGCAGTGTCCCTGCCTGTGTGGCCTCTGCCCCTTGGGGAGGTCTGAGAGGAGGTCAGTCGGGTGTGATCCACTGTGGATGGGACTTGGGGGGGGGGCGGCAGGACAGCTGAGGATGGCTCCAGGTTTGGGGATGTGTTACACAGAGTCACCCTGGTCTGAGGGGGGCACCCTGTGGGCGGGAGTTCTGCCCCGTGCACAGGAAACATGGGGCGTCCGGGAGGCAGAGGGCCACTCCAGCTGGATGCATGGCGGAGTCGTCAGGGCTGGGATTCAAATCTGGGATCGATGAGGTCACCGAGGAGAGAGTGTGGGAAGAGAAGAGGGCCTGGCCCTGAGGTCGGGTACAGGGAGGGACAGTGAGGAGGAGGAGGGGGCAGGAAGCTGGCCCTGGCCAGTTGGTGATGCTGCTGAGGGATCCAGAGCCTCAGGACAGATGGCAGTGCCTGGGGACCTGATGAGGACCAGGGCAGCTGGAAGGCAGGGAAGGCCTCCTGGGAGGGGGTGGAGGCGGGGGCCAGGCGGGGACAGAAGTGCAGGAGCTCACAGTCAGGAGAGAGGCTCCAGCCTGCATGGGCTGACCCCTGACGACAGAGGGAGAGACAGAGGCAATGGTGAGTGGGGGGCCTCAGGGGGACCGTCAAGAAAGAACAGGCGGCGTCTTCATTCATCTGGAAAGCTGGAGGCTGGTGGCTGATGAACCATAAAACTCCTTTCTCACGGTTTGGGAGAGGGGAAGTCTAGGCTCAGTGTCTGGAGGGCCTGCTTCCTCGCTCATAGATGGCCCCTTCCCACTGTGTCCTCAAGGAGTGGAAGGGGAGGGGAGGGGTCTCTCTGGCGTCTTTTATAAGGACACCGATCCCATTCCCAGGGGCCCCATCTCCTGACACCAGGACCTTGGGGGTTAGATGCGGCATGTGGACTTGGGTGGGATGAGCATTCAGCCATAGCAGGACGTGCCTGGGAAGGGGGAGTTGGGCTCTGTCCAGGCTGGAGGGCCCACGGGAGGCCTGGCTAATGCTCCTCAGT